CTTTTGCAGGGGTAATACAGAGTTAAATGTGGTCCTTGGTCAGGCTCTGGAACCTGCAGATACCATTCTATAAGAGAAGTGGATCCAAAGGGAGAATTTGCCCATTGACTTTCCATTCTGTGTGTGGATTAAAATAGCTTGGGGGCCCCCATGACATGGCACAGAATGATTTTTCTCCCTATGCACTCTGTCAGAATGCCCCAAGAGAGTCTAGCATGCAAAGTCAAAAGACACTTAGCATACCCAGGAATGCCGGAAATATTTTTAATCTAAAGAGGTATTGTCTTTTTCATAAGGGAATACAGACTTGCTTTCTCTATTGAGGAGCTCTTGTTTTCTAGAAACCTCTAGTAGCTCCCTCTTCTTCTTTGTATCCTCTCAAAAAATTTATGTGAAGCTTCAGGTGAGGAGATGCCTTTTCAAGATGTCTAAAAGAACTCCACACTAACATAATAAGTGATGCCTATAATCTAACCTCTGATTTACTTCTGTCTTCTGAGTATTCACACATCTGTCACTGAGATCTATACTTTGAGTATTTTAATCTTGAATATGGTTCAACAAGGTTTAACTTTTCCTGACCATTTGTTCTTGGGGAAGGGTGGAATGAGCTGTCTGAATGTGATGTATAGAGAATACAATGAACAGACTGGAGATGAGTATTTGTTTTAAGAGTTGTCTTAAATCCTGATTAACTCTACTTTGGTTATTGTTTTAAAAGGCAACACCCTGAAACCAGATCTCAGAGCATCATTCCAAGGACACACCAGGAGGGAAAATGGCCAAATCTTTCCTATTATTCTGCTCAATTTTGTTCATCTTTATACATATGATATTATCTTCTGGTGAGTAATTTGGCTGGTCCTAGCCAGCATGTGAGATTGATTTGGGGGCTTTGAATTTGTAATCTGAAAGAGAATGCTTTGGAATTATTTTTAAATTTCAGTGGATCATTTATATAAAAACATGTAAAATATGTCATATATATCTGCATGTCTACAGATAAAAGGGGATGTGGTCCAAATATACATACATACATATATATATGTATATATGTCTCTCTGTGTGTGTATGTATATAGATACATATACATGTGTATATATATTTACAGAGACAAAGAGGTGTGGTCCAAAGGAGTCTGGTTCAGTGTGTGGGCAGGGGTCTTAGTTTTGCCATGTATTTCATGCAGGTTGAGGCAGAATTTATGGGGGAAAGGAAGTTTGGATGATTCAGTGAGTGTGCAGCATGTTAGAGTGTCGAGCAGTATGCCTCTACCAGAGCACATCTTGAAAATTTAGACTGTTTGAAAAGGCTTTGCTATGTGTTTGTCCTCTTCTGGAGAAGAAGTCATGAAAGGAGTCATGAAGATACTCAGTCTCAAGGACTTGAGACCTCAGTTTTTCACATATCTATCATGAATTCCTGAATGTCACCCAAGCATCTATTGCTTCTCTGAAAATTGTGCAGATTGGACCAAAGATCACTTTAAAGTTCTAGCATTCCCTGTTTCTTTCTTAAATTAGCTATGAACTCTGAATCCTTTCAAGTCTAAACTAATTATTGTTAATTGAGACAAATTATTTGTTTCACTGAATTGGCAACCTTTTGAGAGCAGTGGTGCATCTAAATAGTCCTCTGCTGGTTATTTATCAGGAATAGAAGAATTATTTCACTTTTTTTTTTGTTTGTTTGGTTTTTTTTGGAGACAGAGTCTCACTCTGTGGCTGGGCTAGAGTGCCATGGCTTCATTACAGTTCACTGCAACCTCAAACACCTGGGCTCAAGCCACCCTCCTGCCTCAGCTTCCTGAGAGTTATTTCTCATTTTTTAAAAGAAAATGAGCGAATACGTGTATAACTGAAATAATATTTCCAATTTCTACAAGATGCCTTGGTAATGAGTTGGAACTCTTTTATTCTGTCAACAGATTAAGGTATGGTTTACCAGGGATTAGATTGTGTAATTATTTTCCTATATTCTCTAGGTTTACGACCTTCAAAATCGCGGCCATCAAAAGGAAACAATAAGGTAATTGTCCAGTAGATTTCTGAGGAGTAAGATTCTATTCTGAGTTTTCCTTGAAATTGTTATCTTGGAAAAAAATGCAGAAGGTAATCCATGATATTCTTTAAGGTCTATTCACATCAGGATGGCAGGAACACTGCCAATATAGGAGCCCAGAGTAGAGTGACCCAAACTGGGAACTCAGGCAAAATTTTGTCGTATGTACACCAGAAAACCCTCCTTAATGCCTGAAAAATGTTTATGAGCACAGACAACTGCCAGAGGCACGACGAGTACTTAAAGGCCCATACACTTAGGCATAGCATGGTTCTGGCTCTCAAGGAACCCACAGTTTGGTGGACAGAATGGCTGGAGGGACTGCTCCTAAATGCCCTGAGATGTACAGAGAATGCTTATGTGAGTTGTGAATAGGGAAACCAACCTCTGGGATCTGGATGGAGGAAAATGTGAAGGGATAGGAACTCTCTGAACAGGGACTCAAATTATGTTTGCAACTTGAATGACAGCAAAATGGAGATAGCCCCCCCCCCTTTTTTGTGTGTGTGCCTACTCCTGTGAGCACTGCCTATTTTGTGAGGTCAATGAATGTTTGATAAGTGAGGGACAAGATGAATGAGAGATTATTCTTTTTATTTTAGTTATATTTACACCACTGTGCTCCTTCACTTTAGGAGTATTAGCACTTTAAGCTTTTGTCTCATTAGTAAATTTAAAATTTTACCTTTTCTTTTAAAAAAGTAAATAATGAATTGACTGGTGAAAAAGATATTTAGAGGTCAGCGTGGCTTGTAAGAGACCCACGGATCAGATTGTAGAACCTGATAGAGGCTACAGCTCTAGCAAAAGAATCTTTGGAATTGGTCCAGAATGTATCCACTGGTCTCACAGAGTCTGGTTCCAGCCTTTTCCTCTCCAGAAGGATTCTCCCCACCTACCGAAACAATTGCATGCAGGAGGAATCCCTCTCTTGCCCATCAATTCATAAATGATAATGCACTTACTCATTTTTACTTATTTCCTTTAAGATGTATTTATTAATCACCTGTGTTTTGCCATAAAATATAATATCGAGGAAAACAGATATAGTCCCTTTTCTCATGAAGCTTACAGATAGCTGCAACAAAAACAAAAGCAACAGCTGTGATTTATCGTAAATTCTGTCAATTAAAAAAATAGGGTATTAAGATAGAGACTATCTGTCAGGGATGCAGATACTACTATAAACAATGTGATTGGGGAAGTCCTCTGTGCCACAGGGACATCTAAGGTGAGGCCAGAGGGATAAAAAGAGCCACTTAGGGGGGGATCAGTGAGGAAGGCTTTACCTGCTTGAGTCGCTGGTTGAATCCCCATGTGACTGGAGCACAGGGAGGGGATGTGGCAGAGGCTACAGTTGGAGCAGCTGGCAGGACCCTCCCCCACAAATGCACGCCCTCCTTCAAAGACAGAGGGGAGAAACAAAGCTGCATTTATAGACAATGATATGAACTATTCTTGCTCTTTTATTTGATAACTCTATATTCATTCAAACTGAACTATTTTATATGTCCACTCACTCATTTTGCAAATATTTCTAGAGCAAAGACTAGCTGCCAATGGAGTTAATGTATGTAAGTGCTGAGCATAGAATGGTAAACCTAATCAGACACAAGCCTTAACCTTGTGGGCTTATAGTCTTTTGGGGGTGTGCAATTAGTTAAATATTTACACAAAAGCTTTATCTGAACTGATCAAAGGTATAAAAAGAAGAAAAAAACAGAAATCAATGATTATATTTTTAGAAATATCTCTGAGAAAGTATGATGTAATCTAAGCTCTGAGGGTAGAATGAGTTTAGGTTGAGAAAAAAATATGTTTCGTGGGGTGCTCATGACAACCCGGAAGATCCTGAGGAGGAAACATGGAAATTTGGAAAAAAACAAAACAAACTAATTAATTAAAAGGGCAAAGATCAAGGTGGTATAAAGTAAGGTTGGAAGATTTGGGAGAGTCCAGGGACTTATTTTAACCCATAATAAAAAAGATATTCTTAATAATGCATGATGAGGTGTAATTAAAGGATTTTAATTAAGGTAATAAAATAATTCAATTGATGTTTAAACTGTGAAACTATAGGAGATGGGGAATAGAGGAGATTGAGAGATTGTTTGGGTGATGCTGGTGGCCTGGCCATCATGGTGCTGTTGGATAAGGAAAGAAGGAAGATGAGTTTCTAAGCTCAAACATTATACATTTTTTGTAAATTCCCAGCCCAAACCTTTCCTATCTTGTAACTGTACCAATCTTATAGAAGTTATAGAGCCCCTGAGACCACCATCCTCAAACTCCATAATCCCAAACTGCTTCAAGCCATCATCGACACCAGAATTGTCCAGGGAAGAAATTCACCTGAAAGCAAGCAGACCTGGGTCCTAACCCTGATGGGACATATGCCTTCCTTTGTTTTTAGTTTTCCCTACAAAACCAGTGAAGTCAGTCTAAATGGTCTCATATTTCACAAATTTCATGATAGTAGATGGCCTGGGAATGTTGAGAGTAGATAAAATATGATAAACATTTTAACTGAAGGCGTATAGATTCAGTGAAATATCTTTTCCAATTATACAGTTTCAGTTTTCTTAGCTGAGTTCTCATACAAAAATCTCTAAGAATGTTTCCAGATCGAATAGTCTTGGCATAAAGGCAATTGAGAAAGAAGTCAAATTCCCAGTTTATCCACTCTTCTTTCTCCCACTCTAACATAGCAGGCCTTGTTCTTTTCACTGAGAAGGTCCTGAAACCATGGTGTCATATGCCATGAGCTGAGATAGATATGGGTTCTGGTTCCATTGCTTTGTGGAGGTGGGGCTGTGAGAACTTTTGTAAGACTGAGATATGGTCCTAACTATACTTTAGATTTTTCTAATAAAGACAAAAGGTGACCTACCTATCTAAGTGTAGTTCTAATTGTTTCATTCCTTTTAATTCAATTTCAGGTGAAATGTCCATATAAGAAAGTAAACTTGAAGTGGTTCACTGGAACAGTGAATCCCTGTCCTGGCTTATATCAACCCATCTGTGGCACCAATTTTGTGACCTATGACAACCCCTGCATCCTGTGTATTGAGAGCTTGTGAGTATTATTAGGGGAAAAGAAGAGAATGATGGGTATGCTTGTGCATAAGCAATTACTATCTAGCCCCCCTATCAAGTCCATCAACCCCAAAGGAGGAATTTGCCCCAGTTTTCAAAGATAACCATCAGCCACCACTTAGAAAAGCACGCAGTAACAGGAAGCCCACTGGAGTAGAAAGCAGACTCCTTGTACTGAGTGGTGTTCCGCAGGGCCATTTTGCTCTTTGAGCCCTTACATTCCCATACACCAATTGATGGATTTCCACTTGAAGCTCTCAGATATCCCTTCAAGTTCTGAAATTCTTTGATTTGAAAACAAATTGTGTTTTTTGCCTTTTCTTAGGTATCTTCACCTCCTAATGCGTCTGAAATTCTAAACTCGGACGAGGTGACTGCGAACTTTGGGTCCTTCAGCTAAAAGTCAATGCTGAGTGTTTTGGATTTATGTAACATAAAATCAGTGATTAGACACTGTAATCTCACAGCACAATGGTTTTAGCTTTGATATCAATATGGGCCAGTGCATTTCACAAGCAGAAAAACTTTCCCTATGGCATCAGATTGGTAGTCTCAGCACAACAATCTTTTGCGCCAGGAGCAATGACAGGAACGTATAAACCCAGCTCATTCCCACTAATGAGTAATTGAGCCAAAGAGTGAGAGTATTGACAAAACAGCTAAGGACTGATATACCTTGCACATCACAAACTTAGGCCTGCTTCAATAGCTTATTTTCAAAAAGTTTGTGGTATGTGTCATAATATCTTCAGTAGCATGTCAGAATCATGGAAAGATAACTGGGTAAGAAATCCAAAAACCTGGCTTTTGTCTTTGGTCAGTTTTCTTTATATCTGGACCTTAGCCTCCTCAAATATAAAATAAGGGGTCTAGATAAGATAATTTTAAAAGACTTTTTGTAACCCTGACATTCTATTTTTAAATCAAGTGTTTATTCTGACTCTTCCTTTAGGAAATCTGAAGGAAAAATTAAGTTTTACAAAGATGGAAACTGTACTATGTGAGTGGATTTGCATGTGGAAGAAGATGTCTTCTTTTTCTCTCAGTCACTCAAATCTTCCTTTTGCACTTCATCCCTTTTTTACCCCTCCTTGCATGTGTCCTTTGTGATAGCGAGCTGCCCTTGTTGAGTTTGTAGCAGATAACTCAAGGTCTTTTCTAAGGACCTCTCCCCCACTGATTCCCTGCTTTCTATAGTCTCCCTAATAAATAAACTTTTCTGAAAGCCTGATTTGACTTGAGTCTCAGATCTGTGTCTAAAATCTCAGAATTAGAACAAATTGAACATGTGAGCCATTGGGATTAATAAGCTCTCTGATTCTGTGAACAGTGAAGCAATCTGTGAACAGTGAGCAACCTCCAAGTTGTCTTACAAGGAATGCAACAGAAATTCCTTCCAGATTCCCTTGACATTTCTATAGAGCATTGTGCTCTGCCTGGCTGATTCCTGTTGTCCAGCTTCTGCAAACTCTTCATTAAACACCAGCACTTTTGGACTCAACCCTGAGGCAGAGGCATTTACACATGTGCAGCTTAGATCAAGAGGGTCCCACACCTACACAGGCCCCACTTTTCTTGCTAGAAGGAAGTCTACATTGTTGATATCCATGAATGTCCCATCGATCATTCACCTTTTTCTTAATTTCTCTGGATATATTTTAAATTCTGAAACATAAAGAGACATATTTTTCTCTTGGTTTTATATATATATATATATACATATATATATAATATATATATATGTGTGTGTGTGTGTGTGTGTGTGTGCATTTACAACTTGCTCCCTGCTGGGCTGGGAAAGAGCAACTATTCTACCTCTCCATAACTTGTAAGGCTGTGGTCAGAGTGTGTATATGTTCTTCTAGATCTTTGATCTTAACTACTGTGCTGATTACATGGTGAATACACGACTCCAGTGAAAAGGAAACAATTGCTTTTTGTCTGTTATCTTTAGAACACGAAGAACAAATGGCCTGGGAAAAAGAAGATATTCTCTGTAGTATGCCAATTCCCATTGCTTCAAGTCCTGGGCTATGCAAGAACACTAAGAACTCCAGGGAGGATTGACTGCTTTTTATACTGTTGCTTTAACTTTGTGTTCATAAATCTTTTCTTCTGCAATAATTAATTTGCCATAAAAGTTATCCAGTGGATTTTTAAAAAATCTCAAAACAGGTATAACTACCAGCGTTGTATTAGATCAGGGCTCTATTTATCTTGAATCTTCTCTAGTGATTCTATCTTGGCTTTGGGTAGTTTCCTCACATACAAGCACCAATTAATAATCTATGGGGCCCTCCATCCAGCTCTCCCGTCTGGTGCTATGGTCCTGAAGACTCTAGTCACTTTGGTTTCTCTTTCTTCTCAGCTCTGCATCTCAACTCAGGGTTGTTTCATCCGGGTTCCTCTTTCCTGTTCCCGGAAGCTCTCACAATGCAGAAACCGAGGCCAACCATCGAGTTAACATCTATTTTCCATCTCTGTAGGATTCAATGTCCTTCGATGCCTGATGTTTTACTGTCATTGTTTCACCTATTTTGTCTGATTATTTGTTGTCATTTCGGGTAGGAGGACATATCCGGTTTCTTTCACATCACATTGTCTGAAAGGAGAAGTTGACTTTATCAAGCTATTTGGACTTATGTTTTTTACTTAGGTTTTTCTCTGATACCTTCTAATGTCTAGACTGGAGTTTAATATCATTATTCTAATTTTTCTAAGAAGTTCAAAGGACAAAACTTGTGCTTTGTAATAATGGCAATCTTTTTAGTGCATAAGCAAGCACTTACTTGAATTTGCTGCACATAAAAGTAAAAAGGGCTTTGATAATTTTTTTTATCATTTGATAATAGACATTTTCGAAGACGAAAATGAGGTTTGGATATATCTAAATGCAAGACTGTCTCCTTCCAGTGCAATTCCTAAGAATAATTTCCACAGATCTCTTACCGCTGCCAACACGAAAGGAACTTCCCCCTTTGTAGTCCTAACAACTACTCCCTGCATGTGTTCTCTCTCTCTCTCTCTCTGCTCTCTCTCTTTCCTCCACTTGTTAGTTTTTTTTTTGTTTTTTTTTTTTTGAGACAGGATCTCATTCTGTTGCCTGGGCTAGAGTGCAGTGCCATCATCATAGCTCACTGCAACCTCAAACTCCTGGGCTGAAGGGATCCTCTTGCCTCGGCCTCTTGAGTAGCATGCACCACCACATCCAGCTACTTTTTCTCTATTTTGTAAAGATGAGGTCTTACCATGTTGCTCAGGCTGGTCTCAAACTCCTGGCCCTAAGTGATCCTCCCTCCTTGGCCTCCCAAAGTGCTAGGTTTATAGGTATTAGCCACCACATCCAGCCTCCCTCTCCCTCTTTAGCAGGTGATTTCAAATCCTCTATATGGTTTTTCCCTTGTATTTTATCCTTTAGTTATTGATGAGTTCCAGGTTTTGGTAACTGCTCTCTTCTTACCCATCCTACTTCCTCTGCTCGAAAATCCCACTCACATTTGTAATGACTCTGTTGCCTATATACATATAACTCACTTATCCACATCATGAGATTGTACCCATCTTCATAGCATAAGATACTAGGCATCTTAATTTCATTAGCTCATGAAATTGTTAAAGTCAGTCTATCCAATATAGGTCCCATGTTTTTCTTTCTAAATTTGCTCCTACACTTGTTTTAATGTAAGGAAAGCTAATGCCATTATTTTCTCTAAGTCCTTCCTCACTCATACTTGATTTCAATATATAATTTCTATATATTCCTTATATTATCTTAAGTATTAATTAAACCCATGAACATTTATTTAATTCAAGTCATCCTGGTTTAATAGGTTATTTTGGTATTCATCTTAACTGTTTCCTCAGGATCAATTCTAGTCTCCCAATATTTTTTTTCATTTAAATATGACCTGTTAAAAATCTCTGTCCATGGTGAGTAACAATACAAATAAACATCTTAGTATAAGACATTTTATTTCATTTGCTAAAGAAACTCTAAGGACAAGTTCCAATCATAACAAACTCTTGCAGGACTTGTAACAAACCCTATTTGCCCATAAGGTGGCAGTAAAGAATTGCCGTTTAGACCAACAAGTTTGACAAGACCTTTGGCCAACTGGTCATATAACAATGAGATTCTGGGTAGATTGCTAATACAGATTTCTCATCACTTAACATGATGACATTCATTTCAGGATGGTGAAATCTCCTAACATACTCCATGCTTAGCTTTTATCCAAGTCTCACATTGAGTAGGAGTGTTGGGAAATGTTTCTAATTAATGGAATACTTCTAACAAACTAATAGACTAAATACCACTCTTCTAATTCTACGGACTTCATTTGTTTTGTTTTTTTTGATTAGATACTTTTTACCCCAAGAAAGGAAATTAATTCAAACAGACTTGAGTACATTGTTTTCCATGTATTTGCAAACAAAAATTGGGGATGACTTGGGTATGGGCCCTGTGTCGTCGTCAAAAATGCTCATTGTTTTTGAAATAACATGTAAACAACAAGACAAATGTATACTGTAGTTAATTGTCTTTAACCCTTATTTATTTTTATTAATATTAATTTTGACAGATCATAATTGTGTACACTTGTAGTGTGTAATCTGATGTTTTGATATATGGATAGAAAGTAGAATGAGGGCTGGGCGCTGTGGCTCACGCCTGTAATCCTAGCTCTTGGGAGGCCGAGGCGGGCGGATTGCTCAAGGTCAGGAGTTCAAAACCAGCCTGAGCAAGAGCGAGACCCCGTCTCTACTATAAATAGAAAGAAATTAATGGCCAACTGATATATATATAAAAAATTACGGGCATGGTGGCGCATGCCTGTAGTCCCAGCTACTCGGAGCTGAGGCAGAAGGATCACTCGAGCCAGGAGATTTGAGGTTGCTGTGAGCTAGGCTGACGCCACGGCACTCACTCTAGCCTGGACAACAAAGCGAGACTCTGTCTCAAAAAAAAAAAAAAAAGAAAGTAGAATGATTAAATAAAGCTAATTAAGATATCCACGACCTCATTTAATTTTTGTGGTGAGACATTTGAAATTTACTTTCTTAGCTATTTTGAAACAGACAATACATTATTATCAGCTGTAGTCATCCTGCTATGCAATAAATTTCATAAACTTATTCTTCTAGTCTAACTAAAACTTTGTACCATTTGACAAACATCTCCCCGTTCCCACTCCCTCACTTCCAGACTCTGGTAACCAGCATACTATTATTCTCTACTTCTATGAGTTTGACCTTTTTAGATTCCACATATAAGTGAGATTATGTGGTATTTGTCTTTCTGTGTCTAGCTTATTTCACTGAGCATAATGTTCTCTAATTCTATCCATATTGTTGCGAATGACAGCATTTCTTTCTTTTTAAAAGCTGAACAGTGTATTTTGTTGTGTATATGTATTGCATTATCTTTATTCATTCTTTTCTTTCTTTTTTTCCAGATTCCCACATTGTTTATATTCATTCTCTTCTTTATGGACACATAGGTTTATCCCATATCTTGGCAATTGTAAATAATGCTATCATTAGCGTGGGAGTGCAGATATCCCTTCAACATATTGATTTCAATTAGTTTGGATATATACTCAGAAGTGGGATTGTCGGATCATATAGTAGTTCTATTTTTAGTTTTTTGAGGACTGTCCATACCACTTTCCATAATGGCTATACCAATTTACACTCTCACCAAGAGTGTACAAGGGTTCCCTTTCTTCCACATCCTTATCAACACTTGTTACTTTCCATCGTTATGGTATAACCATTCTAATAGGTTTGAGTTGATATCACATTGTGGTTTTAATTGGAATTTCCCTAATAATTAGTGATGTTGAGCTTTTTTTCTGTAAATCTGTTTGCCATTTGAATGTCTTCTTTTGAGAAATTTCTGTTCAGATCCTTTGACCATTTTTCAATCAGGTTGTTAGTTTTCTTGTTATTGAGTTGCTTGAATTTCTTATATATTTCAGATGTATGGTTTGCAAATATTTTC